CAAAAGTAATCGTTCCGAAGGTTGGTATGCAGATAAGAAGATCAGATGCGCCGGGTTGTTTACTCGGAGGTAAACTCGTCACTTGTACAAAGTCGTCAAAGTCAAAAGGTATTGATAACTAAGTAAACTAAGTTGAGCACGAAGCTCCTATCTAATGGCAGACATGCCATCTTATATAGAACCTTCGTTCCCATGTGGATCTGAGGATCCCCCAGATCCCTTGTCTGGATCCTGGGATCCTCAAGATCCCAAGATCCATCACGTGACTACATACAATGAAATCCTTGGATGGAGCAGCAAGCCTGCCCCACCCTTAGTTGAGCACGAAGCTCCTATCTAATGGCAGACATGCCATCTTATATAGAACCTTCGTTCCCATGTGGATCTGAGGATCCCCCAGATCCCTTGTCTGGATCCTGGGATCCTCAAGATCCCAAGATCCATCACGTGACTACATACAATGAAATCCTTGGATGGAGCAGCAAGCCTGCCCCACCCTTCACTTGCTATAAGAGCCCAATGATAGTGCTTAACCTGTCAGGACGCCGCCTGGTCTTCACTCGTCACATGCTAACACGTGATTCGTGACAAGTAGAAGGCTAGCTTATAAAAATAAAGGTAAGAATAACTAGATTATATATACTATATAAATATTAACATAATAGGCCTATTTTTAAGGATTATTACTACATAGCTTAAGAGACTTTCTCTCTTTGATTTCCTAGGTCCTAGACTCTTTATTAAATAAGATATTACCTTTATTATCCTAGAATAAAAGAGCGCTAAAATCTAATAAGTAGAGGTTAATAACTTTAAAAGTACTTTTTATAATCTAAAGAATATATTTATAATACTTTAAAAGTAAATAGTCTATAACTTATATAATAGAAAAGGGGAATATACTATAATTAATAGTCATTTATTCTAAGTCTAATATCTAATTTAGAAAGGTAAGTAAGCCTAATAGATTACTTTAAATAAGGCTACTTAATTAGCCCTATTAGTATAGATTTTAGTAGAAGGGACCTATATTTTAAGGTTACCTTTACTATATACCTAGGCTAGCTATATACGAATTACCCTATTAAAGTAATAGAGTAGAGGCCGGGGCTACCTAATTTTAGTATATAATAGCTAATTATCTTTATATACTAAGGGCTCTACTTATTATTAGTCTACTATATATCATCGGATTACTATAAACGTCTATACTCTAGCGTTTATATAGATTATTACCTATACTTATATATCTATATCTTTGTTATTATTAAACTATATCTAGATAAGGTTAATCTAATCTATATATACTAGGAATAAGGGCATATTCTCTTATATAGAACATAGTATTTTAAACTTAAGTAATACTAGAACCTAGAAGATTATTCTTAGGGTAAAAACCCTAGTAAGTCTCTAGTTGTTTAATAGTAAGGGAGGTAGATCTCCTTCGAGGAGTTAGTAACCGGCGACCTTAGCGACAAGCTCTTACTACTCTTACTATAGTATTAATTACTTCTCTTATAAATCTTCTTTATTATTAGGCTTGTAATTCAACCCTTGTTGTTTCGTAAGCTTCTTTAGCTAAGCGGTTCCTTACTCCTATTAGAGTTCGCTAGTTATAAAGGTTTTATTCTATACGTATAAACGTACGATTACCTACTCTAGTAAGATTTATAGTATAAGCCCTTTGTAATATACGTTTTAAAGGTTTCGGAGGTACAATTAAGGCTGATTGTTTTAGATCAACTAGATTTAAAAGAGCTAATAATCGTACTATATAGAACGATAAATATAGTATTATTAATAGAGGAGTATACTCGTATATAGAATATTTATCCTACCGAGTTACTTAGTAAGCACTCCCTCATTTATAATAAACTACTACTAAACATTAGAATTATCCGGCTCTTAATAAGGTAGTAAGCTGATTTCTATTTTCTTAATTTCTTCAAGTATTCAAAGAAGATTTATCAAACTTATACGAAGCCGTCTTTAGATAGAAGAAAGAGACTATAACAATAATAGTAAAGTTAAGATAGATTTAAGCGGTAACAAGAAAGTTTAACTATACTAATAAATCTTTTACCAAAGTACTTAATTATACCTATGCATTTTTGGTAGTTGGTCTAGTGAAATCACTCAGCTTTTAATTTCTCTAATACTGAAACCATATGCCAAAATCTAAATTTAGAACCAACAACCCTGAATACACGATTGAAGTAGGGACACTTCGTAGCCTTCTGTAGCTGTACCTGCTTCTATAGCACCGGTACTAAGCTGTATAACACATTTTCAATTGGAGGTCAACTCGAGTGCAAAGTATAATAAGTATCGTCGTAAATGAAAGAATATAGTTCGAGAGACGTAACATAAGAAACCTATTGATGTAAACCAGCGAGCGATTCGCTCTGAGCGATGAGCTCTCGAACAAGATTAGTAAGCATTTCAAATCTTTTCGGGATAATGATACAAATTGTCCTGAAAACTCTAAGAAGAATTACTTATTGGTTTTGCGGGAGGTAGAGTGACTAGATCCACTTGCTGCTGCTTTTCGTTCTCCACCGCAAAATACCACGGTTCTAGGCTGCGTGTATTTAGCCTGGTTCTTGGTTCCTCAAATTGATAGTGTATTGTGTTCCCAGAGAAGAAAGCCAGAGATCGAAACCCCTGCTGCTGCAGTAACCGTTTGGCGACGACAGGATTTTGTGGGTTGCTGGTGGGGGTTTCCCCTTCGCTCGAAATGCAGAACCGACATACTGAAAAGCAGGATTTTCATTCACAACGGATGGGAAGAAAGTATAAAATGAACGAAAGAAAATTTAACTTTCGAATTCTTCCATTCATATGGATTTATGACATCACCGGGTCGTTGCAAGTCACAACCGGGTCTGGGTATAGTCCGGAACTTTCATATAAGCGTGGCAGTGGAGCCTCGATGGTGGTCCTTACAATTGCTTCTCTGGATATTTTCGCCGAGAAATTGGGTTTCATTGAAATGGCAGGCTAGTTGGTAACGCAGGTTGTGGCGACGATGCGTCCACCAAGTGGACTTTTCCTGAGAAAAACGGCCCGAAAAACGGGAATGGACGATGCGTATTTGGTACGAAAGGATTAGTAGATGTTAAAAATGGTTTCAGTAGGAAGTGGTCAGGACTCGGATGGGGAAAGTTGAAATCTCTTTCGGTTGTCAGAATCGGCTCTTGCACAGATCTGTTCAAGTGGCCAATTTATATACCAAGAGGGATTTTAAAGAAGAGTGGATACCCTTCAGATCAAAATAGCCGTTGGGTATCCACGGTTTATTATGAGGTTCATGCACTTTGCGAAACCCGCTTTTCAAGCAATTGAGGCTCAAAAGTTTTATTCTTTATCCGTATTCGCATTTGTCATACCATAGTGACGTTTTTTATGGTTGTCTTACTTCAATGCTTCATCATGATATGTCTGGATGTGACTGAGGGGTTAGGTTGCTTTTGGATGAGAAGGTGACGATTGAGCTCCAGTACAATCTTTCCATAAGAAACTAATGCTACAGTACCTTCCACAATAGGGGTTCAATTTTCTCCTTCTTGCGCAACGTTCCTGCAACGGCTGTACTTCGTATCGCCACGCATCTCCTTTGGTTTCAAGTACTGCACTACTACCATACAATTGTACTTCTAGACCTCCGGCGAGCCTTCAAGCAATGAGTGTTCCCATCATCACACCCTTATCTTCAAAAGCCCAGTAATCTTGACCGCACATTCATGGAAGGATTGCAGTAAAGTTTAAAGCATTATGTCATTGCATAATAGTAATTCAGTAAACACAGCGGTTTGGGCCAATATTCCAAGGAAAGCTTCAATCGACGTAGTGCTAGCCATGGAATCAAACTGAGCGCAAGAGATATACCATAACTTTATGTTCAATCGTCAGTCGGTACACGTCACATTAAATGAGGCTTTTTGTTGGTTTTCTTTTGTATTGCTGGCTAGCTTCAAGTACTTATAATTCGCCCACATATAAAGTAAGTGGAAAGCGAAGAATAAGCACCCTCGGCGTCGCACCCCTTGCGGGGGCAGTTTGACTAACTAATTCCAAGTACTCGGACTTCGATCGCGTTATAGACCAATTAGAAGGCTCTATCTTAGCGAAACATAAAGCACAAAGTAGGGCAGTAAGCGCGCCCCTTTCGGGGGCATAAACGAACTAGACTAGCGTCCAGAAAACCCTCCCAAATCGCAAGGCGAGCCTTCCAGCGAGGGGAATGTGGGTGGGATAAACAAGCACGTAGCTTATAAACAAGCACCTCTCGGACTTCGACCACATTATAGACCAATTCAAAGGCTCTATCTGGTGAAACACAAAGTATAGAGCAGGGCGGTAACTTCGGCCAGAACCCAAGGTCTAAAACCCTCCCAAATCGCTAGGCGAGCCTTGAAGCGAGGGGAATGTGGGTGGGACAAAAGTGTAGCTGACGATATAGTGGATATTGTGGTGGTGTTGAAGGCATGTGGCAGTAGTAGGGTGGGATATATATCCCACCACCGCACCATGCGAGTAGCTTACTAAGCCTTCATCCTCATTCACTATAAATCCTGTCAATATAGAAAAAGCTTACAACTCACAAAGTCGCTCGCAACGATTCCAGGCTGTTCTTTTCTTGTTTTTGCTTGTTTCGTTGCCGTGGAAGTGCTTATAGAGTAATGGTCAGGTATCTTATCAAGTTAGAAACCATAGCGAATAGCGACAGCTGTGGTTTATTGGATGTAAACCTTAGTGGTGTGATTTCTTGGCTAGATATTAAATACACGATAAGGTCCTCGTACGTTTGGATGATACATACGAAATTCAGCATCTGTTTGTAGTTTCACGCATCAGACTGGGTTCATTTGATGTAAAAAAGCGCCCGCGATTGCAATTTTAGATACATGGTTTAATTCTTCTCCCTTCGGCAACCTCAAAGGAATCCGTCAAGTTGATTCAGCAGTTAAGCTACTGCCTCTTCACACTCACTATCCTATTCAGCCTTCGGAATCATCCTCGGGAAGGGGGAATTCTAAAGTGCCTTCGTGCGTGTCCCAGTCGAAAAAGAATAGTCGTCGGAGGTCAGGATCTTCCAGAAGCTTGCAGATGGATTTGTGTCCTTTCGCATTCCAACCAGTCATCTGACAGTCCTAATTTACGACGTTAAAAACAGTGAGACAAAATTGTTGCTGGGAGCTCATACCTTGCCACAGTACCAAAACGACAGGCACTTTCCGCATTTTTGCAAGGAATTTGCCTTCCTTCCACATCCATGACAATTACGTGTTCCATCGACATTTGGAGTAGAAAACTTTTGGATTTCGTCATTCATTGTAAGCAACTTGTGCAACGATAGTGGAAATATCTGTCCCTCATTAGCGAACGAGCACATAGAGCCTTTCATGAACATCGATACCTTGATGATTTTGTGGTTTTCGAGGCGGATACCGATTTGGCCGTCCATGAACTGTCGGCGCTTTGCATCGAGAACTGCCATAGTGTGGCCTATCTTAAGACTTGAAGCTACTTCATTTCCTCGGCCATCAGTGTAGAAGAACAGGTTGGTCACCATGTCGTCAACATCCTTCAAATGCAACTCCCACCGTAACAACTCCAATGAGCCCACGATCTCACCCAGATAGCACCAGTGCTCTGAGTCTGCATCATTTTCATACTCACTGGGAAGACTAAAAAAAGGCGGGAAACCTATTCTGTTCCGAAGGCCAATAATCTTTTCCCTTTTCCACAGCCAGTCTTCGTACTCCTGAAGTCCTACTCCTTGTGGTTTTTCATGAAGGGCTGTCTTCCATTTGCTCGAGAAGCCGGCTAGTTGTCTGAATAGCGAGTGTTTCGAAGGGTCCTGTGCCAGACTTCCATATTCAATCACTTCCTTACTGTCACTCCCATGTGCAATTTGCCAGCAGAACACTACTTTCTCCGCGAAGACAGATCCTCTTACCAAGTCGCCATTCGAAAGAGCGATCTGAGTGGCATCGAAAAACGCTCTTGCCAAACCAGCATCACCTAGACCTTGCTCGTCATAAAGTGTGACCATTTGGTCAACGTAACGAAGGGTCCGGAGCGCAGTGGACACGATAGCTGAAATGCCACCTGCACCGATGAGACGCTCCAGTCTTGCAATCTCCTCAAATCTTCTATCGCTCTCCTGGCTCTGCGCAATGGGCAAAGAGCACAGGCGGCATGTGCAGTCAAACTTGAACTTTGCTCGCAGAGCTTCTTGACGTTCTTTTCGGCTTCTGTCGCTACCCAGGTAATAGATCGTGATCTCCTCCCCCTTTTCAATGTCTCTCAAGGCATGTACTGTATGTCGTTTGATGTTATCGTTCCAGTGCTTCTGCGCGTTATTATCACAAGCATGGTTGAGGCGAGATGCTTCCAGAAAAATACCTCCACCAATACCACCGGCTTCAATTGGTAGGGCGTTGGTTCGGTATATACCGAGGGGAAGCTCAGAAGCAATGCACTCTGGTAAGATATTACGCATGGCGAGGAAAGCTTGTCGGTTGGATTCGCTGAGCGCTTCAAATTGTTCAATGATCGATTTTCGAAGTTCCACGGTACTTTGGTCCTCTGCTTCTGTTATAATGGGTTCTTCGCAGAGTATTCGTGTTCCTCTGGGAATCTTTTCGTTTGCAACAAGGCCTTTGCCTCTTCCTGGAATATCCTGCAGAGAATACATGGGAATGGATAGAGATCCCTCCATTTTGGTGACTTGGTTTCGGGTTGGTGGTGGACTTTGGTATTTAAGGGATCATTTGAAGGTAATGGATTCAAAATTTGCTATCTGGTGAAGCAAACAAACAACAAACGCGCAAAAACGTACCTGGTGATAGGTTGACAGAGGACTAAGTGAGCCAATAAAGCATGTAAACTTTCATTACAGATGTGGGGAATCTTTATCATGCGCTAGGATATCTTCTTTCATTGGTACACTCCAGAATCTCAAATCCAACATTCATCCAATCAATATCTGCTAGTTTGTGTAGTGAAGCATGAGTATTTAAGAAAAACGTGGCCCTCATCAGCGGGCTTATCAGACTCATCAAAAACAATCCATCATATTCTGTCAAGTATTTTGTGTCTCCTGCCAGTTTTGTTTCAGGTTATCTGTATTACATTAAGCATGAAATCGGTAAAATGAACTGGAATACTAGCAGAATACAGGCATGGTACGTGGCGGCATCCTTTAATTTCATAGTAGACTGAGCCATCTTTTTGCAATGTTCTTTAATCACCGCAGCTTGCTATGAGAGGAAGTGATGAGTTAATTAGAAGAATTTCTCCTGGTTTTTGAGACAGTCAGACTCGTTTTCATAGACCCGTAGAGGACTTTGTTATCGGCAAGATTTCTCCGTGGAGCGACATAGCCCATGAAAACCAAGCTGGAGTAATATACTATGATATGGTTAATCAAACTCTATCGTTTACTTGTTTGCTTGGAGCATGTAGTATTAACACGTGAGTTAAGTAAAAAACCTATGCTCATGGTAGTGTGGAATGGGATTGTCGATACCTACACGTGCTATGCATCGGATAGTTAAGTTATTACTATCCATTAATATGAGAAGTTAGATACTGGAGCCTTATTCCTTTCAGATAATAAAAAGCTCAATATAAATTGACTGAACAAGAAAAGAAAACTCCATTTAAGGCTATTATTATTAATATTCAGTAAATGATACCTTTTCAGAAAAATAGATAAAAGTCCTCGCATAAATACTTTCTCCATTTACTGCAGAAGCAACTGAGGAGTCAAAAACTAATATTTGATATCATTAATTAAAACCATTAGAAATTCAGTTAAAAAAATAAACAATTGTTCATAGATCTGGTATATCCACTCCAGCCATTTGTAGCCATTCACTCGCCAAGCCCCTGAATGCACTCCCACGTCACAGCTTCCAAGGGTTCTTCTCCCCTCACCACCAGTTTCCCTTGATCATGATATACCCACGCAACCTCCTCTCTTTGGATCATCGCAAGCTGCAATACCGCCATCATGTCCGCAGCAATGGGTGAAATCATCACCATTAGCAATTTCGCCACCAAAATATCCCGAGTCTCTCCAGAAGCATCATCAACTCTCTACGGGCTCGTCGACATGGGAAGGTTGGCACCTCCCAACCGTCTTTTCAGAAGCATTGCTAAAAGCTGTTAGCAATGGCATTCGATTTTCGATTTCAGATCTCGCTTTACCCACCAGTCGAGCCCTGAATTGTATCTACCGCGAACGCGCCGGTATATCTCTTTACGATGCCCTCCACGAATCGACAGCCGACGCGAAACCCTTCCATTTCTCCCCCGATACTATCAATCGAGTCGCGCAGACTATGGCAAGATTCAGAAAGATATGCGATGGATATGGCGTACAGCAGACAAACACTAGTGTATTCGCGACCGAGGCCATGCGTACGGCCAAGAATCGAGACGAAATGCTAGGCGCGATCAAGGAAGCAAGTGGGCTAGTGGTCGATATTCTGAGTCCTAATATGGAGAGTCTCTTTGGAGCTATGGGTGCCAGAAGTGGATTTCACCATGTTGATGGCCTTTTTATGGATTTGGGAGGGGGTAGTGTGCAGATGACTTATGTCAATTCAACTGAGCACCCTAATTACGATATCCTAGCCGCAGAGGCTGCAACGAGTATGCCTTTCGGTGCTGCGAAGCTTACTGCTGCATTGCCAGCTCAAGATGAGGGGCAGACAGCCAAGAAGGAATTGCGTTCGCTGATGAAAGAGACATTTGAAGGCCTGAAAAGTCGGTTTTCGAGGCTGAAGCAACAGGCGGAACATGATGATGGCATTACAATATACTTTTGTGGTGGAGGATTTCGCGGGTATGGCAGTATGTTAATGCATACCGAGAAAATGCGATATCCGATTCCTGCAATTGGCGGATACACGACGCCCGGTGAGCGCTTCGTCAAGTGGCGGGAGATGCTTCATGTCAATAAGTCTGAAGAAGGAAAAATATACGGACTATCCAAGAGAAGAAGAGAACAATTTCCCGCGATTGCTACAGTGGTGGAGGCTCTTGTCGATGCCGTACCCAAGATCAAGCAAGTCGTGTTTTGCAGTGGAGGCAACCGTGAAGGAGTTTTATATATGAAATTACCCCCTGAGTTGCGAGAGACAAATCCGCTGTCTCTGATTCCTGGCAATGTTGCATCAGATAACAACGCAGCAACTGATGCGATCGTGACCGCAATACAATCCGGCATGACCAAAGAATCACCAGCAATATTCTCTAGCGAGATTCTGAAATACATAGCACATTCTAGCTGGCAGGAAATGGGCGATCGAGACAGCGCAAACTCTGCCAAATCTCTTCATGACCCCATCTCTGGCTCACTAGCAGGATTCCCCGGATTGACGCATGAATTGAGAGCAGTCATTGCTCTCACGATGTGCTCGAGATGGGGCTCAGATCTTGGGCCTAAGGATAAGGAACTGGCTGAAAGTCTTCAGTTGTTAATCGGCCATGAGTTGAGTTTTTGGTGTCGCTATGTTGGCTGTTTGGTGAGAATGCTGGCTCATGTGATGCCGGCAGCTCCTGTGAGTGAGGAGGTTATCCAGAATCATATTTCTCTGAAGCCAGATGTCACTTATGGACTTGGTAAGAAAGGCCACAAGGTTGGTATCCGATTGAGAATTGAGTTAGGTCCAGGTGCGACTGGTCTTGCGGCTGGCGAGATAGAGAAATACTTTGACAAGATTGCGAAGGGTCTGAAAGTCGATTGGAAGGTTGAAGCGGAGGTCAAGGAATGATATATTAGTCAGCTATGATACCCCCAGAACATACGTATACTTAGAATCAATCGTATGCTTTATTATTCATGTATTCCAAAGACTGGCGCTGAGGCACAAAAGCTTAGCGGATGACGGGTGTTGTTATAGTTACGAGTACCTCGTGGCCCATTCCGATGGTCAAAAATTCACATCTGCAAATGAGACGAGGGCGAAGGGGGTTTTGTACTTGAGCAGCTTTTATGTAACCCTTCCTCATATCTTGGCGCTAACCCTCTAAGCGGGAAGAAGGCTGAAGTGAGGTCAAACCTGGCCTTTACACTTGTGTTGCGCTGCTTTGTTCACTTGGACAGTTTAAAGCATGAGATTCGACGTCAAGTCATTGGGAGGAGGAGCAACCTCAACCTCATCATATGCCTTAACCAAACACTAAAAGCATCGCAGAAATTGAGACCTGGTTCAAGTTCGCTCCTGCCGCGCTTTCCCCCAACCGACCACCGTCTCAAATCTGGCACCCTTTCCTCATCCAACTTTGAGGAAGATTGCATTCACCATTTTTCTCTAAACCCAGGTATTGCCTAAGAGTGGTAATGTCTGCTGGCAAAGAATTAGTTTCTCGTTGCGCAGGAAAGATTGTAGCAGGGACAGGAGATGCAGCGCTGAAATTCAGCAAATAAGTTCACATTTGAAGAGGCAAAGGGTTTCAATAATTGTTAGGAAAGGCATGGGAAAGATTGCTCCAAAGAAAAAAAGGATTATTGGATAGGAATAGGGAGTAGAGGAAAAGGTCATGGTGGATATATATCAACAAGCTACCACCTATGGAGATCTGTCTCCAGAAAGACAGGCAAAAAGGAATTTCAATCATCTAGCAAGGATATCAAAGTTTATGACTCCTTATCATTTTATTTTTCGACCTCCCTCCATCTTCTGCACAAAAATGTCTCCAACTCCCTGTGCAAGGAAAACAGCAAAAATACATCATCGTCCATGCGAGTAAACTTCCGAAGCTTTCTCGCTCAGCAACAAGTTTTATCTCGTTTTTCTGCCTCTTTTATCTGGCGTTGCATCTTAATGCCTTCGCAGTAGTCGCATTCGCGTTTGAGAACTTGGACGTCTCAGTCGTAGTCTGGACATTGGCGTTCTTTGCCAACCCACAAGCCGGAGCAGGTGTGCATGTGACTGGGCGAGGCGTTGTGGGAGCAGGTGTAGAAACTGGCTTTGAAGTAGCACATTTTGGTTTGCTTTGATGTGTCTGTGTTTCTGTGTGTATCTGTGGTATGTTTTGGATTATGAGATATTGAAGGGAACCTTAAGATAGCGTGGAACACTTGGAAATGGAGAGTTCATATCAAATATTCGATGACTTTTGTTTATAGGTCTGAACACTATTCGTCTCTTGAATCAAGACTCGACAAAGAAAGACGGTGATTCACAGAGATGTTTCAGGAGGTGAAAACAAAGAAGAAAAATAAAGTTGTTTGGAATCCCATTGTCTCATCAGGACTTTTGAACGAAGAGAATTCTTCGAGACAATAGCATTCAGAAACCTTTGTCTGTCCCCCTAATAAACAGAGCTCAAAAGAAAACATAGAAATATCCTTGCCATGTATTCCATCACCCACTCACCAATGTAGAAGCTCTAAAACAAAAACCCACCGCCGATTATACCCCATCAAAAATGTGTTACTCCGAATCCACCCACTACACCTGCAAACACAGCCTAACCGACACAACCTCAATTCGCCCTTGCACACCCGGCCGAGCCGGCATCGAAACGACCTGTCCAAACTACACTCCCGAAATCACCGAATCCCTTGAAGAATGCCACTGGTGCACCGAAGTAGACCAGTCTTTGCACGCCGAACTAAAGCGAGCTAGGAATAAGAAGAGACTTGAGTTGGGACTCAAACCAGGTGATGTCCCGGAGGATTGGATGAGGGATATCCTATGGCCCGCCCCGAAGTTCGAGATCAAGGAGGTGGAGAATGGGGAGTATATCTCTCAATTGCCAGAGCATAGGTTTGGAGAAGTGGTTGAGGGTCAGCCGAGAGTTGTTTTGCCAATGGTGTATGAGGAGCCGTCTGCTGGGCGATGTGATGAGATCCTTAGTGGTGTTAGAGGGTTCTTCTACTTTTGGTGTGGACCGTTGGCTAGACGGGGTTCTTGTTGTTAGTAATAGAGTGCTTAGGAGAAAAAAGCTTCTTGTTTGATGAAAGATCACTCAAAAAGTATAAAGGTTATAAAATAGTAATTACCAGAAATAGATTTACAACTAAGTATTAAGAAGGCAGAGAATATAAAGTAGAACTAAATATAAGAGAATGTATAATTAAGAGACAAGAAGACCATAAGACTATAAAAGGCTTAGCGTTATAAAAAGCTACTCAGCGACTAGAGCACTACTTAGAATTACTTAGAGCTAAGTTAAGTTAAGTATAACAAAATCAATTCATATCTAATAGGATTTTGCATTGGCTTTGGTGTTTTCTTAACTTTGTTACCATACTATATCCTTGCAAGTATATCGAAGGATTCGAAGCCCAAGTGTAGCCGTTCACTCAAATTGTATGTACTGTACGTGTATGCGATGGGTATGTTAAATTAAGGCTTAAATTCTTTCAAAAGCGGCCTGGTTAGCTAAACGACTTTGTTTTACAGGGAAGATGCTTGTAGCAGGAGAGACTTTTACTCCACTTCAAGTTCGCGTTTCTTCGAGGCCTCGATGCTCTGAAGGGGATATGAAGTACATTTAATCAAAATTGCCAACTCACGGGTCTAAGAATCCCTGGTGCCGCGTCTTCTATTGTAGAAATACTTTTGACATTCCGACAAAAGAGGGTCAATTTAAATTAGCTCATCTGGGAAATATGAAGTACGTGGGCTTTGAAAGCTTCTAGGCTCGAATATAAAGCGAATTAGGTTCAACTGAAGTAAAGGTTATGCCGTTCGCCTTTACGAGTTTCTGTATTCACCAACTGGTATTCTTCTCTCTGTAAATCTTAAACAGGGCTTCGCGAGGTCAAATCCAAGGTCTGTTGATCAACTTTCTTCAACCTTGTACCTAGAAACGGGCTATATAAGACCGCAGAACCTCTGCTCTTGTTGAACATTTACTTACAATCTACTCATTGATTCCTTTCGTGGGTCAATCTACATTGCCTGAAAAGACATCATTCACAGAAACCTCTCAATCCTTATCAAAACGCGTCTTACCCAAATCCCTCTTATCAGCGCGCAGTTTGCGACTGTTTTTGCTTTCGCAGCACGAGAGCCACCAAATACAGAACAGAAGATACCCCTGCAGCTTGAACGCGATTGGACCACCACAAATACTAGAGCGGGCAAGCTTAAAGAAGCTTTCCTCCCGTCAAAAGGTGGCAACAGTGGAGGAGGTGATTCAAATAGCTAATCGAACTCCCATTCGTAGATTCGGGATGTGATTGGTAGTGATATCAAGAAGAGGGACGAAGGAAGTGGGAAACTGGCCGCTCGAGCAGGCTGGCCGAGTTTAATTCCACTGCCTGGCCCTGTTAAGAAGGGACATTAGTTTAGTGGAATTGGTTTTAAGTTTGGTTTTCAATATTATCCCCTCGACACTGCATATGTACATTTCGATTTTGGAGTTGGCGATGCCCACTTTAAGTCTTGGTAACCAACAATAGTATAGTCTAATTAGTGCGGAGCTAGTCGGGCCAAGCCCCGCAGCGCGCCTAGGCACAATTCCGACCTCTCCGACCGCTTAAATAGGAAATCGCAAACTTAAAAATCGAAATGTACATATGTAGTGTCGAGGGGATAAACCCGAATTGATTCAGGACTAAACTAACGTTATCAAACTCTGTAGTTCTATAAATTAGGGATCGATTTTAATAGTACGATCTAGTTATAGTATTATATAAAGGACTTATATTATACGAATTATTTCTTGGTAAATCTAATAAGCTAACTTACTTTTCTAGCTTATTCTAGTATATAGAAAACTTTTAATAATTGTACTTAGATAACGTGCATGTATAGCGAACCGGCCAAACAAGCGAACCGGCCAAAATTTTCTACACTCGCGATTGAAATTGTAAGAACTCTACCACGACGCCTCTAATTATTTCAATAACTAGTATTTACCAAACTTTAAATTATATATATCGTAGTTTTATAGAAGCGACTTTTCTATTACGGAATTCTACGCTACTAATACTACTATATATCCTTTATATCTATCTAATTAGACGCTAGGAATACTAGTAGATATATTCGCGAAAAGCCTAGAATTATATATAATTTATATATCCTTTTTATATATCTAAGTCTACCTTAAATACCTTAGATATAACGAAAGAAGGGTTAGAGTTAATAATTAGGGTTAGTAGAATATAAATAGAAAATACTCTTATATACTTAGGACTAAATACGCTTTAAATATACTTTAATTAGAAGGCTAAATACGCTTTAATTTAAGGGTTAGATACGCTTTGATTTAAGGGTCGTATACGCTTTAAATACGCTTTAATTCGAGGGATTAATACGCTTTAATTTGAGGGCTAAATATGTGACGGTTCTCACCGCCACCACGCTACAGACCAGCCCTGGCTGGAACCTGGCGGCCACCATGCGTCAAACGAGCCCCTGGCTGAGACTCGGCTAAGGCATGGCCCTTGGCGCCACCTCCTGTATTTAAGAGCCTCTGGCTCTTGAGCTTCTGTCCTTCCTTCTCTTCTCTCCTTAGCTTAGAATCTTCGAATAGACAGTTCTACGATTCCATAACCTACACCTTGGACGCTCCTTGAGCAACATATCGTACGTGTCGTCACAAAATACGTCTTAATTCGAGGAATAAAAATGCTTTAATTCTTGTCACGAATCACGTGCTCACGTGATACTTGTCATAATAAGAGGCGCAATCCTCGACAGGCACATCCAGGTTTCTTATAGCAAATAGGGATCGTTTGGAGTAGCTAAGCGATCCAGGGATTTCTCTGTATTGTTATCACGTGATATATGTCGCTAGACGGGGCGACTGGTCTACCAGTCTAGCAGCGACCGAGCGACGAGTCTAGCAAGCTAGCACAAGAGAACGAAGGTTCTATATAAGACTGGCACGTCTGCCATTAGATAGGAGCTTCGTGCTCAACTTAGTTATCAATCTTATCATATTAGTTTGACATCTTTGATACAAGTAACGAGTTCACTTCCAAGTGAACAACCCGATAGTCTTCTTCTTATCATAGCATACCAACCAGCGAACACCCAGCCAAGTTTAGTTAGCCAGTTTGAGTATTCGTTACAATTCTAGGGGTAAATATACCTTTAATATAGCTTAATTCGAGGGCTAAATACGCTTTAATTCGAAGGTTTAATACCCTTTAAATACTTAGAGGGACAAATATAGTATAGTTTCTTCTTAGTAAGCGCGTACTTATAAACACTTTATAACTTTACTACTAAAACGTTACTATTATTAAATTATCGCTCGGTAGTTCTTTTACTTATAGCTAAGTAACTATTTTACTCGAAAAACATCATACTTATAGTATTACCTTATTTAATAATTAATTATATAAGTAGAAGTAGTACTAACTTTTTCAATATAATACCGCGGAATTCTATATATGTGACGGTTCTTACCGCCACCATGCCTCAAACCTGTTACGGAGTTGGAGGAACTAGGGGTTGATCACGTGTAGCGCAGCATGTAGTATGTGTCACGTGCGCGCTGCTGGCATCCTGTATTTAAGCTCTCGTTCCTCTGGAACTCTCTTCCTTCCTCACTTTGTTGTTCGCTCAATACAGCAGTTTCCGTTTGACTCCGTATTCATCACAGCAAGCAGTGGTTCACTCCACACGGTTACACTACTTGCCTATCCTCTCTCCCCTCCTACTTTCTCTCCTCTTTCTCTCCTCTTTCTCTCCTCTTTCTCTCCTCTTTCTCTCCTCTTTCTCTCCTCTTTCTCTCCTCCTTCTCTCCTCTTTCTTTACAACAACTCTTTACAACTACGATAGCGATAGTAATAGCGACAATAAGAAGGGATAGGGGGTATTTATTTGCTTACCGGGGAGCAGGGGGTTACGTTATAACAAAACCTCTAGCTACTAGAGCAGGGGTATATAATAGGGGGGTGGAGTTAAAGGAGCGTTCGAGTTATATTCAGGGGCAGGAGTATTCGAGTAGTTTTACCTTTAATTCTAGCGCTAGTATATAACCCTAATACTGAGCCACTTTACGATGTACGACTTACGATTTCCTATAAAATAACCTTAAAAGTGACTTTTGTGAATTTCGATTTAGTCATCTGGTTTAGTAGTAGATTCGGGATGCCGTAATTAGTAAATAGAAATCGATATAATTAGTTGGTCCAATTTCGAAAAGAAAACATTTAGCTCTGAAAACCCCCTTTTTTTTTATTCTTGACGATTCCTTAATAAATCATCTCTCGTGGGCAAGCAGCCAGCAAATCAAGACTATCCTCCACCAATTCCCAAAGCTCCACATCCTTCCTATCTAACAACCGATACCCACCCGCTCCATCATCCGCACGACAAACAAGAAGATTCTCCTTTGCAAAACGACCATTGTACGAAAAATCCCACACAGCAAACACCTTCAAACTCGGGATTCCATCCTCCCCAAAAGCCCAGCGCACAAACTCTTGCAGATCGCTGTTCTCACAAAGAAAAAAGGGGTCATCTGCAACGGCTTCAGTCCCCAAAGCACCTGTCCCGGCTTCTTGATCAAGCCAATGTGAGTTATCGAATCCACCGGGACAGGGATTTTCGTGTAGGTACCGTCGCTTGCTGTTTGAGTACCGAAAATGGAGGACCTTCCAGTGGGGGCGGACGTCGAGGTGGCGAAGGCGGTAGAGCTGCCAAGGTATAAGCTTATGTGCAAGTCTAAACATTATTTATGGGAATGTGCAATTGAGCTTACTATAAAACCGGCATCAAAATACACCCCTCTATTTACCAACTGAGGACTCGTGTAAATTGTGTCATAGGTGTCAGTCCAGAAAGGGAAGGCGTAATCTTCGAGGTCGTGTATGTACAAGCTCTTCAAGGTTGCAATATGGCCAAGCAAGGACGGCGGAATAGGACACTTTTGAAGCTTGAGTTAGCGTGATTCTCTGACAGTCAAAAGAAGAAAAGAAACTCCCAAGCGACATTGCAGACTTGAAGAAACATAGAAAAGGTTATGACTTACATCTCGAAGCGGTCGAAGTATGAATGGAACGTGTAATTTGTTGTATACTGCTTCCAACCCAGAGAACGATTGAAGAAAGGAAGCTACTTGATCGGCCGGTAGAACGCCCACAGGGGCCCCAGTAAAACCTGCAGACCGTTGCGGTTCACGATATAGCCAAGACTCAGTATGTTTCAACTCAAATCTCTTCATCTTTATCTCGAAGCCCCCACTTGCAAGAAAAGATAATAGACCAAGGGCACCCACACATTCAATGAAGTTCAATTTTCGCAAGTTGGCCATGTTCAGTGCTTCTACCATTTCCTGTCCGCCACGACGTAGTGTTGCATGGCACAAGGATAGCTCTTGTAAAGAAGTGAGACGTTTCGGTGCAATACTGGGAGTGATTTGCAGTATGTCCTTTAAAAAGTCCCCAAAAGGCAAGCGGCCCCGACCGCTGGAAGGGTACGGAGATGGATGTAGTTCTCCGTTGAATTGTCGTTTGGTCCCACGTGTGACTGCGCGAAAATAGAAATGTAGCTGTAGCTTTTTGAGCTTCTGTCCATGGTGGTAAATGAATGCCTTCAATGTATACAGGTGATAGTCGGAGAATATGCCATTGTAACTCAAATGTTGAAGGTCGTTGAACTGTGGTAGAGTAGGAATACCTTCATCGATGGGGGAGTTTGCGTACTCAGCGAAATGATACACGGTGAGAGACTCCAAAGAATTACGCTGGCGGTAAATCTCATGCAATGGAGATCGAGCGACATTTCGATTTGAGCCCATATCCCAGCTATTTCAAAGGTCAGAAAACATTATTCATAATCGTGGTTGCAAGGGACCCTACGTGAAGCTTTTCAAAATGTCCGGAGGCATTGCGCGTAGCAGAGAACGTATCTCTTCGTAGACAGTTTGAATCTCACTACGATCTTCTGGAGATATAGCACGTCCTCTAGCGCAGCAACATCGAAGTCTCGACGTTCGTGGAATTCGGATTGTCAATTGCTTGAAATGTGCTGGTTTGAATGGAGATCTGGAGTTTCGTAGACCTGAGATCTGGGTGTAATCGTTGAGAGGTGTAGTAAAGAGTGGAACTTCAATGGTGTAGGACAAGTAGAGAAAGGGCGACAAATCTATATCCAACGTTCTGAGGACCTAGCGAGGTTGAATAGATCAGCCTTGGTAAGCTAATAGTTAAAGGTTCGTCAGTATAATGTGTAGCTTTGGAAGAAGCGCATACTAACATATTTGGCAATCAGATGAAGCACATCTAAATTGGTGGATGTCAACGTAGCGGGAACGAGAGCTGTGCTGCTGTTGCTGCTGCTCAAGCTCTCCATTGATACCATTGTACCGTCTCTCGCACAATTGGACTGGTCAGACAAGCTGGTCGCACACTCCGACGCAACTTCTGGAGATGTGGCTAGGTCCATGGCGGTGTTGGTTAAATCCATCACCGTGGTGGATATACTCTTGAAAATCTTGAAGTTATTTAAGCAAAGAGACCTAAGAAAGTAAGCGCGTCGGCAAGGTTCGGGCGACAAGGGTAGAACTGAAGTTGTTGATGTTCCCATCCTCACTTGAGGGAGCTCCTCACTTAAGCGAATCTCTCACCTTAGCATCCCAACCCTATCTAGATCACCAACACAAGAAACCAAAATCTCTGGAATACTACAAGTATTGATGTTGAAACATTTTCATGATCTGTTATATAATAGAGCTTCCAATTATTTTACAATTTTGGTCATTACCTATGTGCGACAAATCCCAGTCACAATAACAACACTATATACATATTAACAACATATGAGTCTCTCAAAGAAATGTTATGGTTCTTAATATACTACAGTTACTACAATATGAATCTCCTGTGCCAGCCCCTAAGTGCCAAATATCCCCCCACCAGAGAAAACGCACCAGCGTCCATAAACAAGCAAAGCTCAGGCACACAGGGTTCCAAGCAGGCGGAGTTGTAAGCAAGCAGGAAAAGTTGAAGAGACGCAAAGTTACAACCACCAACAAACAAACGAACAAACGAACAAACGAAAAGAAAGAAACGCTACTTCGATCTTCTCCATATCCTTAGTCTGTCACGGTAGCTGGCTTAAAGTCCTGTTAGCTCACAACGCTTTCTCAAAAGCAGTAAGCAACACATCATCGTAGGAACTGAACATCAATTCACTTCAACGTCCGCCACTTCCCTCAAACAGATTCCTGGCCATACACCTTCTGATAAATGGCCTTCCGCATGCATTTAATCGCCGTTAATTGATGAGTTTCATACTGGAGATAGCCCAGTTTCTTTCTTGACTTTATCAATAAGGTTAATTGAGCAAACATTTAGAACAAATCACAGAGTACAATGCATGATCGGAAATAGCAGTTACAATCATTTACAATCTGTAGAACTAAAAAAACTGATGAGGGCATTGTTTAAGTCTCTGGATGGAGATCATGTTTGGATATTCAAAGACATATTGAATTGATTACAATGACTCATACAATACAGGTCTACCTACACAAACACCCCTCGGGCGACCACATGTCATCTCAACCCCTCTCCAGTGAGCTGCGAAATAAGATGAAAACGGAAATCAGCGACATTGTCGAGATTTCAAGCGTTTTCTTTCAGATGTTTGGTCAGCCAATCATCAGCTTCACACCATTGAAGAAGAGCGACTTGTCTAGCTATGACATGTGATCTCAAGTCTTTGGTGTCGTGATGTTGGATGAGTTCCTCACGCGACATACCGTAGACTTCCCGAGTCATTGCACCCATTTGCTCTCTAGTGACTATGAAGGGAGCCGTCAGTACGAATTAAGGTCAATGTGTTGAGAATGCTTGGTCTTGAGACTTACATGTGATGAGTTTAGGGGCATTCTCTTCATGTTGCTCTCTTGATTGATGTTCTTCCAGACCCGCAAGGAAGCCCTGGAAGGCTACCGTCGATATCAACCAAGAGAGCAACATGAAATGGGTCGATCAGTAGCATGTCCTTCATGTTGCTCTCTTGGTTGATATCGACGGTAGCCTTCCAGGGCTTCCTTGCGGGTTTGGAAGAACATGAAGAGACACGCACTTTAAGCGAGGCCAGCGGCAGAAGCACAAGCAGCAGTAACTCTGGGGGCCGCAGTCGAGCCAGCGACCGTGGCGTGCCAGAGCCACTGGTATTTTGGACGATTGACGACCTGGAAGTGACGCTATCGTGGAGGATAGAGTCGTTCATCTTTGCCTAGCGTATGAAAGTTTTAAATGCGTTATGGGCTCGATGAGACCTGGTGAAGTCGTCTTGTCGGTCTGTGTCGTTGACGATCCAGAGAGAGTGGATGGTCAATTCACCAAGGGGCTTTGTCACTTAGACTCGTCAGAAAAGCCAGAGAAGGGAGAGGATGTGTTACTTACAAGATGCAGTTCAGTTGAGTCTGCTGCTTCCAAGCTTCGTTCAACAGGTTGGGCAGGCTGAGGAGAACGACAGAGGTCGGCGACAAAAGAATGTCGAAAGTTACCAGAGGATAGACGTGAAGGGATACTGGATCTGGCGTACAGACTGGCGTAAGGGAGAAGTGGAACTTGCACACCAGTGTCGTTGTGGTTGGGATATTTCGCTGTCTCGTGGTTTTGAAGAATTGGAGGTGTCGGTGGCAGATGTCGGAACCCAGACAATGTCGTATGGTATTTGGAAAGGTTGCAGTTTGTGAGATTGAGTTGGAGCAGACGAGACTGGAATCTAGTCAGGATATGAGGTTCGCATTTGCTCTTCAGGAAATGAGACTCACTTTTGGTTCGCAGCAGAGTAGATTGAAGATGTTGTGTGCAAGTGTGGTGTTGAGCAGACAGGTTTAGAAGAGGATGGAAGACGGAAGTCTTCCGGAAATTAAACAAACAGTTGTGTGCGCGAATATATTGGAAAAATTCAAAAAGGGCATAGTCGGCCGGCCAAAACTGCTGTATCAATTAAGCGAGGGGGCCAGAAAAGGAAGTGGAACAGGAAATTCACATGTTACCTCCACCACACCTCAATAGGTAATTTCACAAAGATAATAATACGTCACTTCTTTAAGTCTTCTGACACCACTGTTTAAATTGTCGTCCAGTGAAGTAGAGTACTGTCTGTCCATCATGCACCTTACTAGCATCTCTCCTTTACTGTGGGCAACTAGTTCCATAGGCACCACCAGACTTTCCTGAAGCCCAACTAATCCTCACACGTGCTCACCAACAAACCAGTCCATCCAATTTCATTTGTCTGATAATCACGAACTGGAGATGTATCATCCCACAGATCCAGCTGGCAATCTGGTTGACCCCACACCTTCAACTCAATGTTTGGCCTCTTCCAATCATCCCCCTTCCGGTTCATCATCCAATGCAGTAAACTATTTGAAATCACATGCCGCGTAGTCAACCAGAAGCGTGTAGATTGGAGAATACCAGGTTCAGATAAGATCAAGGAGTAGGCACTCATTGGTTGGCTATCAGGAACGCCAAACACCTTCTTCGGAAACGATGCCTCAGCGAATCTATACAAAATAATTTCACCGGGGTAATCAATGAGGTTTGATTGTTGAATGAAATTGACGTCCGTATGGTGGAGACCAATGTAGCCATCCCTCGAGGAAGATGTTTCAAGACCATTTCCACATGATGCAACATGCCAAAATCCTCGATTCTGAAGTAATGTCCCGATTGAATCCCTAAAAGCCTCTCCGAGCATGTTCCCAAAAGTAAAGTATCAATGGTCCAATTCACCCATATCCGTGGAGTAACCACTCGGTCCAGATTGTTGGGAAGATTGAAAGCGCCTTTCGTTTCGACTTCAGGAGTGTAGAATTTGAGACCGATCGTGCGGGCTTCATGACAGACGTGAAGAATGGGGGGTACATTCTTGGCCTGCGAAAGTGTCATGTATTTGAGGTACTCTTCAGGGACATATTGAGACCAAGTCAATTCGTCGGACGTGATACCGAGCTTTAGATGTGCCCAGATATCAACGGTTTTGGGATCACCACAGGCTACCAGCTCCCAAATATTCAAGCGTATTTCTTTCGGAATGTTCGGAAAGCAAGAGAATACTGGCATGTCGTTGTTGCGCTTTTCCTCGCCATGTCCTGCTTGAGAATTTGGCTCTGCGGTGGAGTTTGAATTGTCGCCACGGCCGTTGATGTTGCTTCCATGATCTTGGTACATAGGTCGATAGGGCATAGCTGAATCTGCCTTCCACATGTAAAGACAATGTGTCGATGTTTCGTCATTGTCTTGAACGGCGGGAAGATTCGACATCTTGGGTCGTTGAGTGGGGAATGCTCTCAGCTGGACTTCGCAGATGTACAGATTCTCAAAGTCCGTGGTGTCCGTTCTGCCTTCCTCGGTCAGAAGAGACGAGAAGGCCTTGTTCGCAATGAGTTGAGATTGTTCTAGTTGATGGAGGTAGTATTGGTGAGGTGGTGTCTTGTACTCGTTGTAGATGATAACATCAAAGGTTGCAGCAGGTATCTGCTCTTGGGGCTTGGCTTAGCTATAATACAAAGTGAAGATTTACCTCCTGTCTAACTAAAAAGCCTCAGGTGAATCTCGTAATGAACTTGTCCCAAAACGTGGCTCTATCACCCAAGGTTGTGAGTCCACGGGAGAATTCAAGAGACCAGGCTATTACTCTGTAATGTTCTACAACAAAAAGGTATTGCTATACAAGTCGTCTAGGAAGTACATGACAACTGAATTATAGAAAGGTACACCTAGCATCCCTACTGAAAAGAAAGGGGGGAGGGATATCTAACTATACAAGCCCTTGGATGAAAGCGAGAAAATTTGGATTTGAGGCGCTACTCAAGCACACTCAAAGGGACTCGAAGTGAAGCTTTACACAGGCGTCTTCCAGAAAAAATAAGGAAACATACCTACACCTGCAACAATACTCTCATACTCATCCATGATAGTAAGTAACCTAACCCGAGCACCAGAATCAGGACCATCACCCGTATGCGGATCCCGATTACTATTAACCTCTAACAAGTTACATGTTGAGTTCTCAAGACATCCCGAACCTTTCAAGTAAGTCTAGCAGAAGCTTGAAACAAGCACTCCAATACACATTCACATAGTTCATACCGTCTCTCAAATCCCCAGCACAATATACAATACACAGGGGTTCGTCTCAGTGGAGATGAAGGTACCTAGTTGGTGGCAGTCAGACTTTCTAGGTATTATTGTGAATCTGTGTATCCGCCAAAGTTTTCGCTTTCACGTCTCCCAAGGGCAGAGGAAAGAGGAAAGAGCGGTTTGCCATTTTGGGGATGTTCGCTTGTGTGGCTCTGTACGGTCCTTCCTCGCGATTGCGAGTCTTGAGTTTTGGATGGATGTAATGTAGGGTAGTGTAGGTATCTTACGGGTAGAAGAAGGAAGGTGCGAACGTGACATGCAGTTACCAACCCTTAGGTAAGGTTCCAGAACTTGCGTTCCGCGAACTGCTAGGTAGGCGGGTAGAGAGTTAGGCATACCCAGGTAGTTGTATACGAGGCCTCTCACCCCACAGAACCTTAGAAGCCAAAGTGATTGGTCGAATATATAAGCGAAAGTCTTGATGCCGGAGTTTGGCAGTGCTCTGGGGTCCTTGGAGTCGTACTGTACATAAGTGTCGATTTGAAACCAGTCCTCCTCTCTCAACGCTGACAATAATTATTATTATTATTATTATTCCTTTTAACGTGCTGTGTGAGTCTGAGACTATAGTAGCACGGCTGGGGGTTTCCCTCCAACAGATGAGTAAAGCTGTACTAAATACATGTTTGAGAAGGGGGTTATGGTCATTACAGTTCTTGGGTTGTTGGAAGCAGCTAGGCTTCTGGTTATGACAAAAGAAAAGTTGTTATGTTGTAGTACGCCCCCTCGTTTCACGCCCTGTACGCTACACTTCCTCGTTCTCGTCTTCCTCGTCCTCGTCTTCCTCGTCCTCATCTTTGTTCTCATCCTCAGTTGCGCGTTGTGTGTGCCATATTCTAGTGGCGATTTTGGTGGTTCGAATAAAGTCAAGTGTGGCCTCGACTCCTTTGGCGGTGTGAAGGAGGGATTTCATGGTGAACTCTCGAATATGATGCTTGAGGAGGTTGCGCTTTAGTACTTTCCTAGCATCCCCAGTTTCTGGACAGCTAAGAAGGAGGTGAGTGGGAGTCTCTTGTCTTCCACATCTACAGCGGTTGTTGGTAGTGTGGCCGAGCTTGTGTAGGTATGATTTGAAGTATCCATGGCCTAGCTTAAGCTGATAAAAGGCGCTGGCTATCTCTCTTTTTGTTCCTTGGGGGACGCAAGGTTTCGACAGAATCTTCCATGGGAATTCCCTTCGATACGAGTGTTGGTTAGTTGATGGTTCTGTGTGCCGGGGGGGTGTAGTAAGCTTTTGACGCCATTCTTTGTTCTGGGTCTGCCTGATCTTGACTCCTAGCATAGCAAAGCTAGTGAGTTGAGTGGATGGTTGGATTGTGGTGGCGGCTTTTGCAAGCTTGTCTGCTTTCTCATTTCCTGGAATGTCGGTGTGACCTGGTACCCAGTGAATTGTGGTAGTAGCTCCCTTGCTAACTGCCTTCCGGGCAGCTGTGATAGCTCTGATTTGGCACTCTTGCCCTGGGTTATCTGATGTGGTTTTTAGCCTCCGTAAACCTGCCTGGTTGTCGGAGTAGATGTGGAAATGGATCCCTGGTCTAGCGTGCTTGGCAGCGTATTCAACTGCTAGCGTGGCCCCTTCAACTTCACCGTTGTAGACGAGCTTGTTTGGTCCAATGTTGACTTTCTTTTCGTAGTGGATTCTGTTTGATTGAGGTGAGATTACAGACAAACCTACCCCAATTCCTTGGCTATTTTCTGTTGTAGAGGATGCATCTGTGTAGATGAAAATGCTGTTATCTGAGTTGTTTTGGAGTAGACGAAGGTGAAGTTTAGTTTCCTCTTCT